GTCGCTGAGCTCTGCGGCCACCACCAGGGCCCTGTCAGTAATGTGCACCCCGTGGTGGTCCTCGTACTTCTGCTTCAGGCCGCGCAGGATCTGCACCGTGTCCACCACAGACGGCTCCCCCACAGTGACCATCTGGAAGCGCCGCTCAAAGGCCGCGTCCTTCTCAATGTGCTGGCGGTACTCCGCCAGGGTGGTGGCGCCGATGGTGCGCAGCTCGCCCCGCGCTAGCATGGGCTTCAGCAGATTGGCTGTTGGTTTTGGGGGGAGGTGAGAGTGGGGCCAGTCGGTCCTCAACAAGAGGAAAACATAACTCAGAGGTCTGCATGCACCAGCAGCCAGGCTGCCCACCTGACCAGGCTGGCAAGCCAACACTGCCTAAAAACTGAACGTGAACCCAACCACTCAAAAGGGCCGATTGCCTGGAACCCCAGCTGCTCACTCTGCGCAACCCTCCACTGCGCGCCGCGGGCCGATCCTGCCGCGACTCGCCCTCGATCGCCACCAGGCCCCACCCACCCGCGTCCATGGCGCCCTCGCTCTTGCCGGCCCCCAGCACCACGTGCATCTCGTCAATGAACAGGATCACGCGCCCCTTGGCCTCCTTGACCTCGGACAGCACGCTCTTGAGCCGCTCCTCAAACTCGCCGCGGTACTTGGCCCCCGCCACCAGCAGGCCCATGTCCAGAGAGATCAGGCGCACACCCTTGGGGCGCGAGGGGAGGAGTGCCAGAGGTTTGGGTTGAAGCAATGTGGGGGTTGGCCAGAGGGGGGTGGGGCAGGGGAACAGCCGCTCCTCAGAGACAGCCCCCACTGAGTTTGACAGGTGTAGGAAGCAGCATGCTTGTGTGCAGCTGCAGCAGCCACTTACAGCCGTGCTGATACGGGCAGTGCTCACTCAGCAGCCCAACCCAAAGGCTCATCAGACTTCCCCTCCTTTTCAGGCCCTGCGCCCCGCGCTTGTGCGGGCGCTGCGCCCCCCTCCGTGCCGCCTGGTGTGGCCCCCCCCACCTTGAGATTCTCCGGGACGTCATTCATCACAATGCGCTGCGCCAGGCCCTCCACGATGGCCGTCTTGCCCACCCCCGGCTCCCCCACCAGCACGGGGTTGTTCTTGGTGCGGCGGCTCAGGATGCGCACCACGCGCCGGATCTCGTCGTCGCGGCCGATGACCGGGTCCAGGCGGGCCGCGTTGGCTGTCAGGTCGGTGCCATACTTGGCCAGCGCCTCAAAGTTGGCGTCAGCACTGGCGCTGTCGATCTTCTGCTCCTGTGGGCAGTTTGGGCCCAGGGTGAAGGGCAGTGTTGTGAGATGCAAGGCTTGATGGATGGAGGGTGAAGGTGACATGGGGCCTTGCAAAATGCAGGTAAACTTACACAGCCAAACACCATTCACTGCGCTGCTCTGCCTGCCAAGCAGTGTGCACCAGTGTAGCCGAGCCCCTGTCGCAACCGTCCTCACCTGCGGCCTGACCTCCTTGACGGCCGCCTCCACAGCTGCAGGCGTCACTCCAGCCTCCCCCATGGCCGAGGTGACATCAGGGTCGTGGATGAGCGCCAGCAGCAGCACGTCCGCGCCCAGGTATGCGTCACCGCGCGCGCGCTGCTCCTTCTGAGCCCTCTTGATGGTCTTGTCCAGGGGTGGGCCCAGGAAGACGTCGCCGGCGCTGTCGCCCTGCACCTTGGGCAGCCGGATCACGCGCTTGCGCAGCGTGCGACAGAGGGAGCGCCACGCCTCGTCGCCGGCGGCCTTGACCACGGCCTGCTTGCCGATGCCTTCGTCAAACATGGGCACCGCCACATGCAGCGGCAGGATCTGCTGCTGCTGCTGCTCCTCAGCCAGCGCAGCCGCTGACTGGAGGAACCCGGTCACCGCATCCGTGAACTTGTTGGCGCCCTGCATGGCGGCTATGGACGCCCCACGATACAGCCTGCGGCAGCCGTTGTGCACGTGGTGGGTCAAGAGAGGTTACTGTCAGCAGCTGGGAAAAATGCTGCATGGGCGCTAAGGTGGGGCGCGCTGCATCAGCATGCTGTGCGTCGAGCTGCTAGTCGCGGTCAGGGCATACGATACGGTTCACACTAAGGGTTGAAGCTCTTGCTGTATAATCACAAAGGTAATGGACATCCCGCTGAACCGCACCGGTGTGGGGCACCTCGCTGCCTCCTTCGGAACCCACTTTCAGGCCTTTACTTGCGGCCAAGAACGTCGGTGCATGAAGTTAAGCCCTCGCACCTTTGTATTGTGTCAGCAATCACTTGCAACTGAACTCCACAACTTGCGAGTTACTGTATGCGACCGTTCTCAACGACAGGCGAGATAGAGAGTTAGATGGGCGCGTCGATGCGCAAGTAGCTTTTTTAAACAGGCGCTGGCAGACGCGAGCCGTGGCTATATGCGCGCCCGAGGAGAGGTGTCAGAGCGTCTAGGACGTTCGCGATGTGTCGAAGATGCTTCTGCGGCTGACGAAGCTAGTGGGCATTATGCTTATATACGCGATACCGACACTTTTCTGGAAAGGAACGGACCCGGCAGGAGCGGTTCCCTGCACGGCGTCACTAGCATTCCGCACGGGGTGTTGTGCTGCACAACCCAGGGCGGGCAGCTAGCTATGACCTCAAGCAGCACGCGATGTCGTGGCTATACGCAAAGCAGTTGGGTCCAGAGATGTAAGCATCGCCACAGCTTGCGCAGTGCCAGCGGTCACAAAGGTGCCACTCCAAGATATCCACGCATTGAGGACACGTTGCTGTTGTCGTCGGCTGCCCCTGCAACAAGAAAGCAAGGCTTCTAACGTTTGCACAGCAGCCATCCAGCTGAGACAAAGTTGTACTAGGCATAGTGCTCAATTCGGCACCAGGGCAGAGATGTGACGGAACGGGAGAGGGCACACCCAACAGCCGTTTCGCTTGCAGGCGACCTGATTTTTTTGCCCCAGGCCCACAACCTGGATGGGCCACCCAGATAACGGAACGGGAGAGGGCACACCCAACAGCCGTTTCGCTTGCAGGCGACCTGATTTTTTTGCCCCAGGCCCACAACCTGGATGGGCCACCCAGATAAGCTGGGGCCAACCCAAACAATGAGTGCATTCGCAGTCTACAAGAACCTTGACACATGCACGCTTGTCTTACACCTTTTTGCCTTGGCAGCACCGCGGCACAGCTGGTGCTGCGACCGGCCCAGCCGCGCTGCCAGGCAGGCCTATAACAAGAGAGTAGACCGCGACAGCGGCCCCTGCAAAGCCCAAGAACAGCGTCGAATAGCCAGGGCCGCGCCCCTCGCCGTTGCCGGCGCCATCAGGTGTCTCGTCCGCACCGCGGCCGCTGCCAGCGCCACTGCCCCCGCCACCGCCACCGCCGCCGCCGCTGGCCCCGCCACCGCCGCCGCTGGCCCCATCATCGCTGCCACCGTCGTCCAGCAGGATGCGGCTGCCGCCGCGGCCGCCCGGCCTTTCGGGCACCACCAACCCGGGTCCCGCCGCCTGATCGCTCTGCTGCTGCACCTCTGGTCCCCCACGGCTGCTGCCCCCGGCAGGGCGCCCCACCACGGGTGATGCGGGCGGGGCCGCGCCTTGACTGACATCAGCAAATGGCGAGCCACGGCCGCCACGGCCGCCAGGACGGCTGTCGATTGGAGAGGATGCTGGGGGCGCGGCGCTGGCGCCGCTTGTGTTCGCCAAAGGAGATTCGCGACCGCCACGGCCGCCAGGACGGCCTATCAGTGGCGACGCAGGTGCAGCCGTGTTACTAGCCACATCAGAAAATGGCGATTCCCGGCCGCCGCGGCCGCCTGGGCGGCTGTCGATTGGCGAGGATGCTGGGGGCGAGGCAGTGGCGCCGCCTGTATCGACAAACGGCGATTCGCGACCGCCACGACCACCAGGGCGGCCAACTAGTTGCGAAGTGGGTGCCGCAGAATCACTGCTGCTGACAAGATCAGCATCGGAACGGCCGCGGCCGCCAGGACGACCGCTGAGGAGCGACGAGGGCAGCTCAACGTCGCCTGGGCTGGCCGCCCCACGTACAACTGCGCCGCGGCTGCTGCGGCCACCAGGATGAGGCGTGGTAACCCGCAAATTGCGCGAGATCAGGCTACTGGCACACGACAGGCTGGCGCGGCGGTTGCCGCCCCCGGCAGGACGGATGAATGACACAGCTGCGCTGCGACAGGCGCAAGCGCCGCACGCTGTCCGACCTGACAGGCCGCCAACCCTTGTGTGCTGCTGCATTTGCAGATGCTGTCGCACTGCGGAGTTCGCAGTCTGATCACTATGTAAGGTGTGCCAGGCAGTGGTTGTTGGGGTCAGGGGTGCAAACTGCGCACAGTTGCATGCATGCACTGGCTGAGCTCCAGGTTGGTGCGTGCGCCACACCACAGACCGCAGACAGATGCGCAGTTGGGATTATTTATATGTGAAATCATACGTGAGATCGGCAGCCACGGCCGCGCACCGTCTATGGCAGCTGCGGCGAGCTTGATCTCTACAACCGCGCGTAATCCATGCACAGAAATTGGCAATATAAGATGTCCAATACATGCAGCATGGCCTTGGGCCTCCCATGACATGGCTTCAAATCAATCCTCCCTTTCCAATCGGCGGACCCACCCACCACACCCGACTCGGGTGCTCGGAGCTGCACCCGGGCAACAGGCTCAAGCATGCACAACCCCGCTTGCCTCGTTGCACACCTCAGCCGCACATCGTGCTGGTCTAACCAGCCGTGGGGAAATTCTCGGGCCCAGGTTGACCACGGAAAGCCGCCGCACCACCTCGACGGAAGTCGGGTCTGTGCTGTCAGCTGGAGCAGTCCTGCTGCTGCTAGCATGGCATTCACGGCCGTCCCTGCACGATACCCTTGCACGTACTGTATGCATCTGCAGTGTGAAAGCTGCTTAGCACAGCAATTGCGCAGGGCGAGGTCTGGAGTCTTGAGTGCTGCAGGGCCCTGTTTCTCGTGACCCCCCCTGCGTTGATGCTCATTGTCGTGCTGCCCCTCTCCATGCTGCAGCAGCAGTATTAGTTGCAGCAGGATTGACACTGCCAGACCCCATTATGCTCCAAAGGCTGTTTTGGGGACAGAGGCTCTCGTGGTCAACAGCTAGCTTCGCAACATTCGCCCCGCCCCATGAATTGGCGTGTGTGTGTGCAAGGCTGTGGGATAAGTTCCTGCTCACAGTCATGCCTATAAATGGTGCAAGGAGGTTGTAATCATAATCGTTACAGAGTTCGCCAGCTGTGCACGCGAGGATGTTGTGATTCGATGTACTGAATGTGGGAGACAGAAGGTGGCCCCGACCAGTCGAGCTTTGAAGTGATTCCTCCTGCTTAACTCCCCCGCCCCTCATCTACCCCGTCCACCCCTTGATCACAAACGGTGTACCATCTGCTAAACATGACGTGGGGAAGAAGCGCAGCCACGGGCTGTCACACCCAAAAGCATGTGAGGTCACACAGCCGATGCATGGTGCATGCAATGGCTGGGGAGGTGCGAAGGAGGACCTTGCGTCTTTAAAGCTGCACTGTCTGCTGATTGACGCATCCGTTAATGGACTCTATGGACTCCCACCATCTCTCAGACGTCGCCAGTGTTGCCAGCTTCGCTGGTGCGCTTTCGAGACCGCTTCTGCCCGCGGCGGCTGGCCCTCTCAACACTGCCCTCAACAACAGCAGCCACCTCCGCGACAGCGTGCGCTGGCGCGGCCTCCTTGGCCTCACTGGCAGCAGGCACGCCCTCGGAAGCCGCTGCTGTCCCCTCATCCTGCAGTCCTGCCTTGACAGGCGCGCGCTCTTCGCCGCCAGACTGCTCAACTGCTATGTCTGTCGCCATCGCCGACACGCCCAGCAGCAAGTCATCCGGCACCGGCGCCGCCGCTGCATGCACACCCGCCTCCGCCAAGGGAACTGCTCCCGCCACTCCCGACAAAGCCACAGCAGCAAGCTCTGCTCCAGTTGGGGCTGGCGCCAAAGGTTTCCGTGCGGCAGGCGGGGGCATGCTGCCGCTGGAGGGGGTGGCTGCCGATGCAGGCCGCGGCGGTGGGCCCGCCACAGCTTCGTGCTGGCCGACAATGTCACCCTCGCCCTCTGGCAGCTGCTCTCTCTGCTCAAGCTGCTCCTCTGCCTGCTCCTCCTTGTGCTGCTGACGCCGCTGCTGTCGCTGCTGCTGCCTGTGCAGCTGCTGCAGGTGCTGCTGCTGCTCCATTTGCTGCTGCTGCATAGTAGCCAGCATCTTTTCAAACTCCCCGGCGATGGCGCTGTAGGCCTGCTCACTGCAGGAGCCAGGAGTTTGTGGTGGTGATGGGGTAAGAACGGGCCCCACTGTGCTGCGCATCGTCACAAAGCACGGGGGTGACATTGCTGCGCAGATCGCGGGGCAAGCCCTGCTCAACCCAACACCCTCAACCAACCTGCGTGGCGAGACGGGAGGAAAGGTCGCTGCATCGATTGACAGCCCCAGGGGTCCCAGCAGGTGCTGTGTCCCAATCGCCTCGCTCACACCAGATGGGCTCTCGCCAGGGCTGCTGCTGGGCCCAGCACCCGCCGGTCCCTGCGCTTGCAGGGGATATGCAACGACTCAGAGCGAATTACGGTGGTGTGGCTGGAATGTGGTCCTTGAGGAAAGCAGATAGTCTTATGTGACGTCATCGATCTCCGGTCAACAGGAGCATAACATAGTAAACATGTGCACAGGAATTCCTTAGGCAAACCAACCTGCGCAGAGCGTGCTACGGTAGCAGGGGCTGCGACAGGTCCGACGCCGAAGCCATTGGCGTATAGCATGCTGCCATACAGCAGCTGCACAAGAGGAAACGAGGGTGTTTGTTCCGCAGAAACCTGCAGTGAGCGTCTCGGCTGCGAAGCGGCTCAAAGCAGCAGTTTTGTAATAACCCAAGGCTGTCGCAGTGGGCAGCGTGCGGGGTCCCCCACCCGTCCTGCAACCTTGCGCGGCCATGGCAGACCCACATCATGCGGCGTGTAGCGCTCGTGCGGCTCCAGCACTGCTTGGCCGTACTGCTCCAGGATCGCGTCCATGTCGCTGGTGCTGAACTGCGTCAGCTTGCCCGCCCCGTCAAACATGACCTGGGTGGTGCGACCACAGGCGGGGGCGCACACGTCGCACCGCCGTTGCAGGTGATTTGTGTGCCCTGCACGCTGCAACTTGCAGAACAGCCGCTTCTCCAGCGGTCCAGTGCGGCGATGCATCGGCCAGAGCGCTCTGCTGCGCCCGCGCTCTGCTGCCCGCCCGCGCGCACTCACTATGGCACAGGTCGTGTTGCACAGGACCGCCAGCTCCATGGCCTTGCGCATCAGCTTCAGCTTTCCCTTGGCATACACCACCTAAGGGATCGGGTCCAACGCTGTTTGGGTCGGGCTCGCTGCGCCAGTCGCCGGTCTTCTCTCCGGCCCCGGTCACTCACCTCACGCTGTTTGTCGTCCACGATATAGCGCAGGTCTATACTCCGCTTCATCTTGGCTACGCGAGAGGTCCTCCTAGCTGCCCTGGCTTCAACACGGAGGCACAGACCTTCGGTCAGCCAGAAGTGCCAGAGCGCTAATGGGCTTTTGATATTGCAAGTGATTTGTTTGTACACGTGGATGCACTGGCCGCAACGGCTCAAGAAGAACTAGCGACGCTCGCAGCGCCTCACACCCGGCCTGACTGCCTACTCGCACCGCTGGTGCTGAGGTGCCTCAGTGAGCAGCCGGCCGCTGCTAAGCATCACGTCATTGTGATCCCACATGTTTCAATGAGAAGAGAGCAGGGGATTTCAGGAGTTCATGCATCACTTGCGTTGACCATGGTCAGCTGAGAAGGGGGGGTTCGCAAGGGCAGCGTGAACCAATGCATTACATTGTGGAGTTGCGAGGCGAGGAAGTCAGTGTGAGGATGAAGCGTGTAGTGGCGAGGAGGCGTGCCCGGGCGCTTGTTATGGGTCTACCCCCGGCTGTCTTGGGAGGGTGCTGTTCGCCGTGCCGCAGCGACTGCGAGTGTGAGCTCGCTTCATGCCTCCACATCCCACCCGATCTCCTGCCCTGCCCACATGGGCACCACTGTGCTGCTGCCAAAGCCATAGTGCTCCGGGATGATCCAGGGCCGCTGCACCAGTGTGACTGTGCCGCTATTGCGGGGCAGACCGTAAAAGTCGGGACCGTGGTGGCTGGCAAAGCCTTCGAGCTTCTCCAGGGCACCAGCCTGGGCAGGAGAGGGGGCAGTACAGAAGACATCAGCGCAGGCCAAGACCAGTTGTGGCAGCAATCCACACGTTAAGCCATCGTGTTGGGGCAAAATGTGAGCATCACCAGGCTCAAATTCGGGGCAACCAGCGATGTTGCTGCCTTGTGCTAAAACTGTCTACCAGTCAATCAGCCAGGTGGACCCGCAATCGCCCCTTCATTGCCCCGCCCCCACCTGCTCAAAGGCTGTTGCGTAGAGGGCGAGCGCAATGGGCGCGCTGAAGACGCCCGCGCAGCCGCAAGGTGCCTCCTTGGTGTGGCGCGCATGGGGCGCCGAGTCGGTCCCCAGGAAGAACTTTGGGCTGCCGCTGGTGGCTGCTGCGGCGACAGCCTCACGGTGGCGCTCGCGCTTGAGGACCGGCAGGCAGTAGTTGTGGGGGCGCAGGCCCTTCTGCGCTCATATAGGGGTGTAGGGCATGGTGGGGGAAGAGGAGGCGTAGTCAGGGGGACTGAGCGCACAGCCGCCAACGATTATCCTCACAAAAATGCGCGTTCAAGTTCGCCTCTGCTGGCAGGCACGTTGTGGCTCCTTGTCCGTGCCACGCCGCCTCAGGTCACAGCTTGGCCTGACCCCCAGGCAGGGCATGCGCGCACCACAAAAAGCGCGTTGCGGTTGAGCAGCATGTGCTGCGGCGTGATGGTGGCTGCGACATGGGAAGGCGCACGTGCCACAAATTCAGCTGCGTCGGCTGTTGTTATGTGCTCCATCACCACCCGCAGATCCGGCACGCGGTCCAGCAAGGGGATCTAAAGCAGGGTGGGTATCAAGGGCGAAGCAGGGATTACAGCAATACGCACGCCCACACGAGCCATGCCCCAGAGTTATCGCCGCCTGTTGACCAAGGTTGGCAATACAAGGTTGGCCCGTTTGGTTTTGTTGAACGTGAGCTGGCTGCTCATCATCCACACCCACACCCAAACCCACACCCCACAACCCCAACCCCCCAACACTCCCACACCCCTTCGACCCAACAACCAACCCCTAGTCCCCAGACCTGACCCTTCTCTCCCC